AGGTGAAGGCCCTCGCTCACAACTGTAAATAATACAACTGACGTGCTTCACTTCTTCACCAAGTGTTGTGAAATTTGGCTTGGTAGGTTTTTTTTTTTTAACTTAATCCTGCCTAAAGACAAACAGACAGACAAATAAATGCCACTGAAAACATTTGGAATAATTCAATAAAGCTTGAAACCGATTCTCAGAGACAAGACGCAAAGCAGCTGTGTGCTCACATGAACATGTCAGAAGAAGCTCGTGGTGACAGCAGACGCCTCCTCTCTTTATTTTTGGCTAATCCAAAAAAAAATGATTCAATCCGTGACTCAAAAGTCATGATACCAATCCAGACCGTGACCGTTGTGCACCTCTGCTTACAGTTTTATAGGGTGTCCAGGCTGAGAGCATCACTCACACTGGGCTGGCACAGCAACTCATAACTTGTTGATTTTTTTTTTTTTTTCGAATAATATTTTTTTTTTTTTTTCGAATAGTCAATTTTTTGATTGCTTGCTTTTATCGATCACTTGATGCAGGCATGACCAGCATGTCTCATACTCACTGTTGCCCATAAAGTTAGAATATTTTTTGTTTTCAGACACATTCCTCTTTTTATTTCTATCATCAATGATTACATACTGAGACCCAGTTACCAGGTAAAACCAATTCTGACTGAAGGATCTGACTGAACAGTGGGACGTCCTGCCCATTGACACCATCAACAAGCTGGTGGACAGAATGCCACGATGTCTTAACACATTGATCCATGTCAGGGGTGGCCATGCTCAATACTAGTGACTGAGGGACATTTGAAAGAGTAATATTGGACATTATTAGGCATTAAATTCCCATCAAATATGTGTTTCCTGTTAAATGACCAAGGTTGAAAAATTGAAACAAAACCCTTAATCCTATTGTTCAATACCTCAATTATGCTTAAGCCTGAATACACAGTTTGCAAAAGGTAAGTGTGGTTTAATTTGTACTGTGATATATAATGTATGTATCAAGAATAAATCGCATTGTCACAATAATTTCATGAGAAGAGGTCAAAACATGTTTAATTCTAGCTTTATGGGCGACAATGTGTATAACAAGCTTTTTAATGTAATCATCAAATGCAATGATCGTTGCAAGTTCTGCTTTTCAAATTGCAAGATGGAGCTCCAGTTCTACTAGCACCCTCCAACAGGCTTCACTGCTAGCTGTATGGGATGGCCTGACTTTACTCTGAGGTGATCACACTGGGCTGCCCCTGAATGCCACCTGTTGATGGCAGTTAAAGTGTCCATTTGTCTTTGGAGTAGGTACTAAAAAAAAGTTGCTTTGTGTTTTTGTTTTTTTTTTGTTGTAGCAGACAAACTGTTAGTTTGTATGTTTCAGTGTGCTTTAATATAGTTATTTTATATGACTGAGGAAATACTTGAGATCAAGTTTGACTTCATGATCAACTGATACAACTTGTATCGGTGTGTTAGATGCAGGACCTGTTGCTTTTTTTGTCCCTTTTTCATTTCAGTTGAGGTTCTGCTGTGCTGCTACATTATTCTGAGCAAAACTTGACCGCTGGCTAATGGCCAAGAACAACTGCTCTCCTCTTGTATTAGCTTTTATAAGAATCCAAAAGTCTTCACCAAAGAACAGAAATGAACTCAGGATGCTAGCTCAGCCAGGTGGAAGGTGGATGGGCAGCACCATCTTTTATATCCTCCTGTCGTGTGTCTAAGCACCAATCAGATGCAGGTCAGCTGAGACAGACCTGACGGGACACTGGAGACGTTTCCTTCTTTTTACATTTGGGAATCTGGCCTTGAGCAGGTTCAAAAACGTGAGGTACTGTTGAACAGAAAATCAATATCACAATTTCAACAAATGACACTGGATCAATAGATTGATTCAAATTTGGAAACTGTATACGAGTGTGTGTGTGTGTGTGTGTGTGTGTGTGTGTGTATTTAAGTGCTGTTTCACCAGGTTTCATTAGCCGTTAATGAAAAGCACGTCACCTCTTGGGACTTTGTGGCTTGACATTAGTTTTGCTGTGTAGCTCTGAAATAACAGCAAGTAGAAGGTTTTTTTTTATTTCTCTGTCTTTCCCCAGGACCTTATTAACCAGTAAAAATTACCACTTTTTACCTTCCTTACTCTTTTGTGCAACCTTTCTGCTAAATCCACATTCCAAATATGTTTCTAAAAGTGTAGAATTAGATGCTCGTTTCATTTCTAGGCTGGGAAACTGCTGTCCGGGGAGCTGAACTGGAAACTCGTGGACACTTGACATTTTACTTTTCAAACCTTTGACTGAAAAGGATAGCATGTCACCGAGTTACAGTCCCTAATGCAGCACATCTCCTGGCCTAATTGGGTTGGATGGCTCAGCCAGATATCGAGGTGGCATTTTGCCGGAGAATTCCCCCAGCTCCCCGATGATGAGCCCAGTGTGCCTTCCTTTATCAACGTCTTCCTGCTTTTGCTGAGTAGTTTGTTTTTGCCCTTCGCACGATTTATCACCTGTCACATCTAATGGGACCCAGTATGGAGTACACAGGGCCCCCGGCACATCCCTTGGGCTCATCTTTGTTTCCATTTCCGCCATTGCCACAGATAACTCCTTCAATAGCTGGAGCCCTCCACCTCCACTGCACTGGAGGCTTCTCAGTGTTCTGCCATGAAAACAAATAGAGGGCTTTTGCAATAAACTGAATACAAGTCCCATTGTAGCGCTTGTGGTGGAATTGAATTTGGATAATAACAATGGAACAGTTCAAACTTAAAACTGGGGAGTTTTGCTGAAAAATATTACATTTTGTCTGCGTTTATTACATCGTGTTTTCTAGAGTTACCTGCTGACTGGAAAGTTGTAAGTTTCATTGTTTTTGTTTGCTTTTTACAGCACAGTATAAAAATGATTTCTCTGCCCAGTTCAGACACTACTATGTTATATTACATGTTAAGTTTTATTTTAGGAATATCACTATGTTTTTTTAAAAATTTTTTATCACGACATCATTCTCTTGTTTTGTTTCATCAGCATCAGTGGGTTCTTCCCACAGTTTAAGGGAGGCACATCAATGGTATTGTTCCTTAGGAGCAAAATCAGTTGTGGTGCTACTAAGCTCAGTGCATATCAGGTCGGATCCTCCTGAAGTGGAAACAGAGGCAGTAAAAGGTTCACTATGGCTATTTTTAACCCTCTTGCCGCCTGGGGTCCCAGCAGATCCTAGACTTACATTTTCTTTTTTTTTTAATCACAGGTAAAGAATATTAATGCTTTTGTCAATTAGTTTGTTGCAAATGACTTCTTGTTTTCTGTTTCAGTTTTAATTAGTCCCTTTTAAAGCACTGGTGTTTATGTTCTGTTATTACAAACAAGACTAACACGGTGCGTCATGCATGTGATTGACATGCAGTCAGATCATAATCAGAAGCCGGGGTGAACAAGAAGAAACGTTTGAGGAGTTTTGCTCTGTTTGTCAGCGTTTTAGGATGTGTTTGATTGCAAGAAATCTAGAATATATCTCTATAATAGAGTTTTGGTTGACACTAATAGTGTTTATTTAGCCAACAGTGGTGTGCAGATCAAGACTGGGCAGATTTAGTGTCGTAAAATATAACACAGATAAAGTTTACTTTGCTAATTAACTACACAACTGATGTTTTGAAAAGAAACTGGTGAACATTTTTATATAATGTTTGCTTCTTATAGTAGTTGGTTGTTGGGGACCCCTGTTGGTTGTTGGTTTCCTTTAGCTTTAACATTTGGGCGAAGTTTCTTAAATGAATGTGACCCCTGAGCTCCAGTGTTGAAATGAGCTGTGAGCAGTTCAATCAATTTGTATTATTTTCCTCTCAATCTTTTGTGTGTAAATACTCTTTTCAAACAAGAAAACATATAGCAAAAGTCAGAAAACATAACAACATACCTGGTTCGTTTAATTGTCTTGGATTACATGCCTATGAAGTCAGAGCTAGAACTACAAACGCTGATTATCTTCATTACCAGTTAATCAACTGATTATTTTCTTGACTACTTCAGAATCTATCATCATAATCTGTAGTCTTATTAAAGTTCAAATTCACATGTTTTGAAAGTTTCCAAAGCCAAAAGACTTTCACCTTACAACAACGTAAAATGGATGAAGGCAGCAAATCCACATATTTAACCAGAAATGACTTTGTGTTTTGAATTATTTAATTTTTCAGTGATCACCTCATCAGTTAACAGACATTACTGTTTCATTTAAGTGAAAGTCAGGTAAATTCCTTTTAAATAAAAGTTTGTTGTTGCACATTTTTGTCTAATGGAAGTTTTTGGTTGTAGCCCAGATCTTCTACATGAAAAAAACACTCAGGGATTAGTGTGGGAGTACTGCTACGATCATTAAATTATATATATATCAATTCATTTTATTTTATATAAAGTGAACAATGTCAGCAGCTTTGTGATGGTTGTTTGCTGCCTTTCAATTATCTGTATTGTGCTATAAATCCAATTTATGAGCTCTGGGACTTCGGACTGTGGAACTGACTGGTTAAAAAAAAAGCAACCGTCCTCAAAAAGACTCGAATGTGAAAGAGGTAGATTCAAATGACAAAGAGCAAACCCTTTGGATTGTGAAATGTATGTTTTACAGCTTGTTAATCAAAATAACTGCCTTGTTTGACTGATCTCGTCCTCTCGCTGCTCTCTCACATTCCGGAAGCTGCTGTTCTGTCAAGTAGCACAACAGCGTCAATTTACACTGGATATAATAGGACGCTTCCGCTTTTACCTTTCAATGTAAAACAAAGACTAACGGCTCGAATAAATTTAATAAAACTATATTGCGGTTTTTTTTCTGTTAAAGATACTTTCAAAAATACCAATTATTTTTACTTTAGTTGTTAATTTTGTGCTACTATCATACCTTTTTCTTATAGTTTACTAAAACAGTCTCGCTCGTTAGTTTTATTTTGAGACTGAAAACCACTTGCTTCCGGTTTGCCGTTTGCATTTCTGTTACTTGACGCAGCTGTAAATGGGACAAATGAAGTTCATGTTCCACAGCTGGTGATGGCGGATGTTGTTGAAAAAGACACCATGAAGAATTACCACATAGCGTCCGAGAAAATTAACCCGGAGGCCAGTCGCTACCCTTACTGCATTGTGTGGACACCTATCCCCGTCTTGTCGTGAGTTTACCGCCGTTGGCTTCGGACGAAAACCTCGGGACGAAGTGGCAGCTTTGACTAGCTTTAGCTAGCTAGCAGGCGACCAGCAGCATCCTGTTGCTGGTTTCAATCCGAACATGTAGCTTTACTGGTGTCAGGAGTATGAATGAATGCAGACTGTTTGGATTTAATTGGAAATATTTAAAACAGACGTAATTAGAAAATTGCGTTCGTGTAAATATTGGACATGAAGTAACAACAACAAAAAAAAAGGCAAACAAAAAAATAGCTTTGGACTTATTATGCTTGAAGTGTCAACAGTTATCAGAGTTGTGTCAGAATGCTGTTATCCAGACTGATCCATTTATACGGTAGAAACTGTGTGACAACAACTTCTTCAGTTCTCACTTCCTCTTTGTGTAATGTGCCCTCCTCCACTGAGGCTCTTGTTATCCTCCATTGCTCACTGTTGTGTAACTCAGTACCAATGCAACAACATCAAAGAAGCATTTCCCACATGTCTCCTTTACATTATCAGATCAAACAGTGGCGAGTGTTGTTGGCTTCTACACATGAATATTTAACAAGTGTCCTCCCAGAGACGGAACAGAGTTGGGCTTGAAACTGGAAGGTTACAATCTGGATGTCTGAACCAGATGTGGCTGTGGGGTTCAAAGTGTTTTCAGTGTGTTACACTCATTGGAGTTGTGTTACACATACATGTATAGATTATTATTATTAATCAAGGAGACAGATAGCTGCTATGTGGATGTATAGTTGAAGTAAAAATAAAAATCTGACTGTCAAATTTAGAATAACTCAAAACGTTGTTGAAATACGGTCATTTATGGGTCACAAGTGCTCAGTTAAAAGAGAACTTTCAACATTTATTATTTCATGTTGATCAGCAGTTATGAGTGACAATCTGATAATTCTGCAGATGAGACAACAGAGTGATTATCGCCGGAGAGAAGCAGCTGCAACAGAGCAGCACATTCATAAACTGTTTTACTTCATCGGGAGTCATGTACAAGAAACAAAACGGCACAGATCATTAGAAAAATGCTGAATATCGGATCCAGGTTTATAATAACTCGACCCATGACACTATATTAGAGTCCTACCCGCAGCTTTAAAAGTTCAACTAGTGCTGTATGTGGCTTAACATTTAATCAGTTTCAAGTGAAAATCACAATTTGAAACAATGCAAATTGCAAATTAGGATATGTGTTAGGCAGTGCATCTAACCCAGGGTTTATACTGTCGTGTCAGTGATTTTACAAGTTAATGCTCTAATGTTTTTGTGATGGTATCGCATAAGACAATGCTCCATCATGTTTTAAATCCATCACACAGTAACTGTAGATATGCCTATGTAACTGTAGCTTGACTTTAAAACTTAAATTTCGAATCAAATTGCAATCACAATATCTCTCAGATATTTTTCTCAATAGTTTCCACCCTAGTGCTGTATTTTTACCACTTAATCTTCCCATACAGGCCTTATTTATTCTGTGTGGAGGTTATGTCCACGAGTATTTGGGTACATGTTTTACACGTTTGCGTGTTTTTATTTTTCCATTCAGATGGCTGCTTCCATTCATTGGTCACATGGGAATCTGCACCTCCACTGGAGTCATCCGAGACTTTGCTGGACCTTACTTTGTCTCGGTGAGTAATGACTGTAAGGATTACATAAAGCGATTCTGGGAAGATTTCATTGCCGGTGTGTTAAATTAAGAACAGTACTGCATCTCTTCTCCAGCACAGTGGATGTAGAGTAAGTGTTGGCTCAAAGTGCTCACTTTTAGTCTTAAGAAGAGGTTCACTGAAAATATGTTTTTTAGTCTCAAACATTAACCCCTTCAGCTTGAAAAAAAGACTTAGAAAAGTTTGTGTAACCTGTTGCAGTAACTTGCAATGGAATCCAATGAAACTACATAAAATCCACACCTTTGAGCTGAATTTATAGGTTTAGGCACCAACATGGCTAAATACAGAGACGCCATTTTTGTTTTTGTTATCAATCATTTTAATTAAGTGGTTGTGGGAAACCCTACATTGTCCAGAAAGTGTAAATGGAGGGGCAGTAATTTACTGTGAAATTTGGTCCAGAAAGTCAGGTTTGAGTAGTAGGATCAATAAGATTGAGAAATAAAAAAAAACCTCTTTCCTGTGGTGCATGAGGGAGAACTCTGCAGCTCTGGAGGGTTATCATGGCATTTGTTACCACGGTCTCAAACATTGTGTTCAAGTTGAAAGTAATCTACCAAGAAAGTGCCCTTAAGTGCATTTGATGTGCTTCTGCAGAGTCTTGCTGGATGTCGTGTTGTGGCAAAAAACTGATACACGTTGACCTTTTTTACCAGACAGCCCTCTTTGTTGCTGCAGTCCCCTTGTGTTTGCCCCCCCGCTGAGCCAAAGCAGCGATCCCACTCAAATGAATGAGGGAGCTGCATTTTTTCATGCTGCTGTCTGTCTGACCGAACAGGTTCTTTACATTTTAAACTGATTGCATTATCCTTTCATACATCCATATATTATTAGTGCTTTAGCCTGGACCAGGGGTCGGCAACCTGCGGCTCCGGGGCCCCGTGAGGCTCTTTCATAGCTCCGCTGCGGCTCCTTGTGGCTTTGGAAAATAAATAATGAGTATTTAATTGAAATGTATTTTATTTTAGTTCGTTAATTTTTAAAATATAATTCTAAATTTGAAGAATATGGTGATCTTGTAATGGATTAAATGGATAAAAACGTGTTTTTTGTCGCTCAAAATATGCGTCACAACCGCCGATGTGCGACACCCGGCGGCACACAACAGTGTTACCAACTTGGTGACTTCATCACTAAATCTGGCAACTTTCCAAATCCTCTTGGTGACTTTTTGTTGCAAAAGCGACTAGCGACAAATCTAATGACTCTTTCTGGTGTTACTGGAGACTTTTTCTGCTATTTTGAAGCCTCTGCCGTGAAAATACGTATCAGTTACTGTCTTCCCTCCGATGCTCTGTGAGTGTTTAAGGTTGCCGATCCCTGGCCTAGATTCAGTTTAACTTAAAATTCTTCTGTGATAAAAATAAAACAAAAACAAACCCACAGCTGAACTGAGTGAATTATTTAGATCCCTTAACGATTGTGCGTGACATCCAAATGGAATCGAGCCCAAAGACTGACAGACCACACTGAGAGACACTGAAGAGCCAAACTCTCTCTTCATTTCTCCCACAAAGATCACACTGCTGACTATTATCAACTTATAAACAAAGTTGTGGATAATTATGCATAAAAAAACAACTTGTGGTGAGGCGTAATTTCTAATAGAGGTGCTGCAGATTGCAGCCTCACTGTTTTTGCTTGGACTCATTTGGCTGCTGTACACAAACAAAGTTAATGGTGAATCCAAACAAACAGGATGGGAGGCACATTTCCTAAAGTCTTAATGTTAAACCATCTAAAGTACGCATTCCGGTTTCCAAAGCATCTTGGTGCACTTCTGATTATTTACCACATTATAAGTAACATGTTGTTTATGAGTTAGACAGTCTTCAAATAGTGAGGCTTGTGTATATTCCTGCTAGATCATTTACTGCACAGGTCTTAGTTTAATGACTCTTTACTTTTACTGAAGTAGAAATAAAAAAGAACACACAGTGCGACCAGGTAACTTCATGTTGCATTTTTGCAGGAGGACAACATGGCTTTTGGAAGACCAACAAAGTAAGTAAATGAACCCTTTTTAAAGAGAAATGATGAGAGCTAGCTGTGTCTTTACATGTGTCCTACAGTTTGTTGTTCTCTTTAAGGTACTGGATGCTTGATGTGAGCAAAGTCTACGCCAGCGGCTCCAACGCCTGGGACACTGCAGTACACGATGCGTCAGAGGAGTATAAGCACAGGATGGTAAACTGATGGTTTTGTGATCTTTATTTGCTTCGTAGTAGAGATGTCAATAATAATCATCTTTGTGTTGTTTTCTCCAAAGCACAACCTGTGCTGTGACAACTGTCACTCACATGTCGCCATGGCTCTGAACCTGATGCGATATGAAAACAGCACCTCATGGAACATGATCAAACTCTGCCTCCTCGCTCTCATCCACGGAAAACACGTCAGGTAAGGAAGGCTGATGTTGCTGTGGAGGGTCGTGTGACGGCTTTCAGAGCATTTTACACATAATGATTGGATGTGCCACTAAATTTAATGCTGCCGATCTCAGTGTGGGAAAATATAACTAAGGCTCAAATCACATCCCATTTAATATGAACTGGCACCAACGATTGTAATTTAATTTTCGTTCTTCTCTTTGAAGTAAAAAAATTAGAATGCAGGACTGTTTTTTGACTGTATGTCTACTGCACTCATAGTATTATTTAGGAAAATAGAATGCTGCTTCTGCTACTGCCAACATCAGCATTCGATTAGAGAAAGGGTGAAAACAAAAGTGACAGCTTGTCTGCACTCTGAAACGACATTTTAAACAGCAGTTCAAATGATGCTCCCAACATTTTTGACTAAATTTATGACCCACCCATAACTAAACAACCAACCGGCTAATGGTTATTTTTAATCATTAACATGCGTTCGTATAATTTAGTTACCTTCAGTTTGGGGCTCTAGACTGCTCGCATACATAACATAAATATTCTGGAAAGATGCCCAAGGAAAAAACCTCCAACATCAGGAAAAGTAAGGGAATAATAGATGACAGAAAATGGAACTTTATGGAACTTTTGAATATTTGTGAGAGGACGCTCTAACACAACAGGAGTGAACTACTGTAACAAAGTGTGTTCATACATTTTATATCCACCCAGGTTAACAGAGCAGCGGTACTGTAGGGAACATTTTAATCATCTGCTTTCACTCTTACTGCTCAAATGCATTGACGATCATATTTGATCTGCAAAATGTCAACACGTGGTTTTTAGCAGAACTATAAAAAAGTTTGCCACATCGGTAAGTTAGCTACCAACAAAAACCCAAATGCAACAGTTATGATTGTTGTTAGCTAACTACCGTGTCAAACTAGGAGTGTTACAAACACACTTCAACCTTCCTACTCTTAGCTGCCGATCAGTCAAGTATCTGTACCAAGAAAACTGCATTTATCACCGTTATTTCCGAAAACGTATCGCGTTACTTTTTCCAGTATCGATAAACCGTTCAACACCAGCTTCCATTCTTGCACATAAAAGATTTATTGCACTTGTGGCAGCGAGCTTTGTTAGCATCGCCTCTAGGAAAGTGTAACGTGAGAAGAAACCATGGCTGCTGTTCACGTTTGGCAGAGCATCACCTGGAAAGTGGCTGCTCAGATCAATGCTAACAGTCAGCGCCGATCTCAGGTCCAGTGTGTCAGCACAATGAAAACTGCTCTACTACTGGCTGCTATTAATTGTTTGTGCTAATCGGGAGAGCACATCGATTCACTTCAGGAATAAACAGTAGTGCAGTATGTTGTTGATCAGATATGCTGTGTTTCAGCACCACAGTAACCAGTTTGCCATCATGTTTAGTTTGTAATTCCATACTGTCAGATTTTTTTTTTCTAGGTTTCGTATAGTTGAAGCAAAAGTTTATAGTCTTGTGGTGTAAAGACTAAACCAACACTTTGACCAGCTCTGAGCAAGGTTGTTAAAACTAACAGCAGTCTAGTTTAATCTTTTGGGGGAAACACTGGATTTTTACTTTTTTTTTCTCAGAGAAAATGCACACAATATTTGAGGCTGTCATTCTCAGCACAACAAAAAAAAAAGGGAGCATCATCTACCTTAAAAGCCGATACAGTACAAGCCTTACAGCTGCTCTGTTTAAGCTGCCCTAAGAAGTAGGGCTAAAGTTTGTGAATGAGGTTCCTCAGTGTGATCCCAGGGGCTCGGGCATGATTTCACCGGTATGCCTTGAACCTGTTGTCTCAGGACATGAGAGAAAGAGAGAGAGAGAAAGAGGGAGAGAGAGGCCTGATTCTTGAAGTATTCACGGTGTATGTAGGACATTCCTGCAGAAGGCCTTTGAATACTTACATCACTGGAACAGACTACACGTTCCGGTGGGTCTCCAGCGTTAGAAAGCAAGGAGCAGGGACAGGATGACGGAAGTCGCTACAAGCGCTCTCCTTCACAGCCTCTTATGTCACAAGTATTCAGCAAAGTGGCAAAAAGATAAGTCTGTCATCATGCACTCACGTTGATGAGACGTCCGAACCAGCTGCATTTATGTAGGAAGAGTTCAGATCACTAAAGATTAGCAGAAGCTGCATGAAGGGATATTTTTAAAAGCATTCGGTTTTTTTTGTTTTTTTTTTGAATGAAACATGTAAGACCAAAATGTGGACAAATCCTGCTCTAACATTATACTTAACATCTTTACAACCCTCCTTCAGGCCACTCTCTTGCTCGTTTCTGCTCTGGGAGCCACAGACTGCTGCCTACCTGACTATTTGTACTCATCATTGTTCATTCTGTCTATTCTCCACTTTATTTTTTTGTATCACATGCCAACTGCTTGTGTTGCCTCTCAGCAGGGATTTAACATGAAAAAATGATGATGTACATAATAGCTATACTGACTGTTGCCATGGTGACGGGAAGGAGGATGGGTTGATGTGTGGCTTGTCTTTAGCGGGGCATTAACATGACTGTGGGTTAGACAGGGGAGGAGGTGGGGGGGGTCATACAAGTATTAGATTTATACGTCATACATGCTTCTTGTTTCCTCTGCTCTAATTCTCTGTCTCCACCTCCCAGCTGTGCAGGCTTCCTGAAGACCTGGCTGCCTTTCCTGATGCTCATGGGCATCATCCTTACAGTGGCCTTGGCCCTCAACCTCCGGTGACCGGGCACACAGGTTTAAGACACAGTGGAAACCCCCTCCCCGCTCTCTCTCTCTCTCCCCAGCGGCTCAGATGTGGCGCTGACCTTTTGAACAACAAGGGGGACGGGGGCATCACACGGTGTCGAGCAAAAGTAACCAAGGAGATAAAGACCTACTCACCTCCAGGAGGAGGTTGTTGGACAGGAATGTCCGGCGCATTGGCTTTGTGGCGAGCAGGTGACCGATCACTGGCATTTACCACAGAGTGAAGCTGGAAAAATCCCCAGTGACGGGAATTCATTAAATATCCATCTATGTTTAGACAAGTGACTGAACAGCACACCACCAGGACAACACTAACTTTGAATGGATTATGGAGAATCTGGTTTAAGCCATCGCCACCTGCAGAGTGTAAAAGTTGTGTGGCTGTACTGACGGTTTGAAAACCGGTACCGATGTTGTCGAATTCTCTGAGGGAAACACATCCATGCCTTGCTTTCTGATTATTTTACTTTGTAATGGATTGGGAGTGTAATCCCCTGGTTCAGTGCTTCCAGAATGCCATTTTTTATACTTGGGGAACATGTTAAATCAATTAGCTGCCTTTCAAGGGAATTTATTGCATTTCATGCTTGATCTAATGTAGCTCTTCCACAGTATTGCAACTAATACCTAAATACGCAAGAGCGGTTTGTATTTTTGTGCGTTTTCTTACTCGTATTCTATAGAATATCAAACAGCCTGCATCTCTTAAAAGAAATATTTTCTCAGAGATATGCTATATGTGCTTTACATGCATCACCTCATGGTACTATTAACCACAAATCATCACGATTGTAGCAACCTCAACGAATGTGGCTGTGGTAAATATCTAGAGAAGCCGGGAGAATAGTGAAGCTCCTCTTGGTTTTCTGTACATGTGCCAAATGTAGGAGAACGTGAGACCAACTCAAACTGTGTCCTTTGCATATTTAACTTTGTTCTGTAGTGGAGCAGCTCATCGGCGACTCCAACCTCATCGAATGGAAAGCCTGCCGATGTGGGAATTATGAAACCTGCTGATTGTTCGGTTGGGTTCGGTTTGTTTTCCCCTTACTGCTTTTGACTTTTATGAGAAAAAGCAAGAGTCAGTGCCTAAAAGTGACCTCTCTCGTCATTCCCTTTTTAAACTACGTGATATGTTTTTAGGTTTGTAGGTTTTTGGTTTTTTTTCCTTCTTCTTCAAAACGTTAAATCCACATGATGGTTGGCACTCAAAATCCGTTGCCATGGCTGTCGTGAGCAGATTCAAATCCCCTCATTGTTTGCAATCAAACAGAAAAAAAAAAAGTGTTGAGCCCTCTCTTTGTCCACGGTGCTGCCAGAAGCAGCAGGTAGCCAGGATCCTCAGGTTTTTCACGCTCACAACCCCTGCTGAACATCCCGTTTCCCCCCAGCGCCTGACCAGCGTCACTCCCGCTGTTTTCCACCTCTGCAGATCAGATTCGAAGGTCATTGTGAAATGTCAGCGCTGTTTCACAAAGCTTTGTTGTGTATTGACCAACATCCGCGCAATAATCCAAAGTAGATGTCATTTTAGTGCGAGCTTATAAATTAAAGTCCGTTTTCCTTTCTGTAGTAGGAGTTTACCTCTAGGACTAACACAGTGCCAGTTTTGTAGACTTTGCTCTCCTCATTGGGCTCCTGTTGAAAGCAGATATTCTGTGGCCTCTTCTTGTGCGTATCTCACCCATGTTGCCTGTAAATATTTGAACATTCTCTACATCAGGTGCTCTTTCTATACTTTGCAAACTTGATCACTCACTACAGATTTACTTCCTGAATAATTTAGTGTAATTTCCTTTGTTCTGTTTTCTCTACTTCTTCATATCATGTCTGCTCAGCAGTGAAGCAGATTCGTGCCTGGATGAGTGTGTGTGTGTGTGTGTGCGAGTGTGTACGTACGTGTGTGTGTTAGTTATCCACATAATGACTGGAGAGAGCATGCAGTTGCATGCCAGCATGTGTGTATTGCATGCATGCAAGAATATGAGTGGAACTGTTGGAGAGAGAAGTTCATGGTCGACTCATAGCTGTGGCTTCTTAATAATCAGCTGCATTTTATTGCAGCAAGCTGCCTAGTGATTGATTTCTATATGTATCACTCCATATTTTTCCTCTTAATCTCTTTTAAATGTTATGTGATTGCTGGTAAACTTTAGTGAGAATAAATAATATATTAGACTGTAACAGGCCTGCTTAAGTTGATGTTGATTCGATGCAATAGCTGGTTCCATGTGTACTGTAGCTGCAGATTAGAGCTGCAGAGTCATTTTCTCAAAGAGGAAACACTAAGAAATGGATAATCTGGCTTCAGTTGGAGTGTTGACTGTCTATATAACTATAGAAACACATTGAGGAATATTTTAAACGGACACCTCTCTTTTTAAGCAATGTCACCAGTAATTGTGTTTTTTTGTAAATGCAACTTTATACTCTAAAGTCTCAAGTAGTCATCTGTTAAATTACTGATTTACCATTTTGGACATTGCAAGTAAGGAGACAGGCAGCTCTACATTTAGAGGGGGTGTTACTAAAAGGAGCATGTGTTTAAAAAAAAAAAAAAGCTGGAAATGTGCTCATTATGTCCAAACTGCAGTGACATTTTCTATCCGTGTCCAGCGGCTTGTGGAAAATACCAGCAGAAACAAACAGAAAAAGCGCAAATCCCTTCGGCTCTCTGTAATTGCGCTAAATGTCGGAAAATTGGAGACAAACATTGTGTTTGAACATGTAGCTCGCCTGTTAATGAAACAGCTTATTCATTACATTTCGAGCCCTGAAAGGTAATGAATGAATGGCCCTTTGAGATCAGCTGATAAAAACACAACATCAGCGTAATTACTGACATATAAACGTATATTTTAGGAGGAGCGATAGAAACTGTGCGGACAAATCGCACACCAGCCCTTCATGGGAGCGCATGTGCAAGAATGCAATATTCAGTGGAGATGGTTTGAATGGTTTTAGATGTTGCCTGCTGCGGTGCCTTGTTGTATCCAAGAGCCAGGTCCAGGAATGTGGAGACCTGTGGTCCCAGCGATTCAGTCTGCTGACAAAAGACAGTTGGGATGCTATTATTAGTGCCACTATCCATATATACTTATACCAGTCTGCAATTTCTAAACCCTCTTTTGTTTCTGTAATCCCCAAAATATCTTTTATGCTGCAGATCATATAGCCCACGGGGGGAATTTTAAGAATCCTGCAAGTGACTGTGTGAACTCTGAATGTGTTTCTGACTTACAGCTATAACACCAATAAAGATGTCTATTATTGTAGACATTTTGTGGGACTTCTTCTTCTTTTTTTTTTAAGTTCCTTTCTTGGATTTCCATCATTGAATTATGACAACTGTGTTTCATCAAGGCTGTCAGCAGGAGGGATGATGTTAGGATTTCAATGAGCCATGAAAGGCAAAAAGTCACAGCTCCTCCTGCTGCTGCTGCTCAACTTTCTATAAATACACTGAGAAGTAATTCGTGTAATAATCATTAGGAGCTGTCCGAATCCACATTAAGGAAACGGGGGAGCCTTCGCAGCTTTGATACTCTACTGTCAAGTGGCTAAAATCCCACTTTATCCTGCAGAGCATGGTGGTATTCAAGGAAAGGGGGGATCAAAGGCTGTGGAGTCTGGCCCCCTGACACCCCTCCCCCCAGCTTTACCACCTGGGTAGCTGGGAATGACAGGGGCATCACATTTAAACTGAGAAGTTATGGCAAAGTATAAAAATCTGTGAGGTATAATGAGACTAATTTAATGTTTTGGAAACAATCTGCCAGTCAATCTATTTAATGATGTGACCCTTATTACAGAAAACGTGCATTTCTTGCAAGGTTTTGTTTCTTTTTTGTTGTGCCAGTTCAGTTTCCAAATTCCAGTTCAGGTGAGGGTAATGTCGGCCACTACATGATCTGATTGCGCCGTGCGTAAAAGTAAATACACTGAGCAGGAGAGCGCGCATCGCAGCCACTTTCTCCTCCTCATCCATCCCTCTTCTGCAGCGGAGGATCTCGTGGATCCGGACAGGCAGGAGAGAAGCCCCTCCCCGCAGATCATCGCACTAGTCGATGGTCCTTTTAACTTCATTGTTGGAGAAGAAGCGACGCCCCGCTTCGCCACGGCAAAGGATCAAACACCCCCTCTGATCAGCACGACCCCCAGTTTTGTTCTCATGGAAATCAGACCCTGCCTCCCGGCCACACTTTCCGCAGAGATGCAAAGCTGAAGGCGCATTCCCAGCCAGGACGACACATGATAATGATGTCTCGGAGGAGCTGATTATCGTTTCATTTATCCACCTTCTTCTATGTGTTTCTTCTCGGTATTCCTCCTCGTCGCCGCCGCCGCTGCCGCTCTCGAACCGCACACTTTCCCCGTCCAACATGCTGGATTTGACACAGCGCATTGTTTTCTGCGCGCTCCTCGGCTCCGTTTACGCGTCGTGCCCTCCGCGTTGCGAGTGTTCGGAGGCGGCTCACACCGTGAAGTGCGTCTCCAAAGACCTGCGGAGTGTCCCGAGCGGGATCCCCGGATACACCAGGAATCTGTTCATCACCGGGAACCAGATCAGCCGCATCGGTCCGGAGTCGTTCAAAGGGCTGGAGAATGTGACCAACCTGTCCCTGAGCAATAACAGGTAAGACTCTCCTGCGCTCTGCTGTAAAGCAAAGAGTCCAAAACCAGTCTTTCCTCTAAACTGATAACATGCAGTTTTTCAGCCTTCCTGAAATTTGGCAATCAGCAACACAGATTTCATGACTTTGATTGCGTCACACTTGAACGTGGGATTGTATGGTTTAAGCTCTAATAAATTATTATTTCACTTCTGATCCACAGTTAATCAGTTAGGCTTTATGTCTGGAAACATTTCTTTTGTCTTGCTCTTCCGTGTGAATCTAAAGTGTCTCATGGGTCTCCTCAAATCCAGAATTTCAGAAGTGGAATCCCACACCTTTGCTGGACTCCGCAGCCTCCGCTCTCTGGATTTGAGCAACAACCAGCTGGCTGTCATTCACCCTGAGGCCTTCACCGTGCTCAATCAGTCTCTGCGGGAGCTCAACCTGAGCCGAGCCCTCTACAACCACTCGTCAGTGATGGACTTGGCCACTTCTCTCCGCTGGAGCTCCTTGGGGACCCTGAACGGACTGGATCTGTCTGACAACGGCCTCATCTATTTGCCCTCGCGTGTCTTCTCCCACCTGAGCAGCCTGCGGCGCCTCCAGCTTTCCAACAACTCCCTGGTGGCTATCCACAACTCCACCTTCTCTGGTCTGGAGCAGCTGGAGGAGCTCGACCTCACGCTCAACGCCCTTAAAACCGTGCCTGAGGAGGGCCTGCAAGAGCTGGACTCTCTGCCCAGAGCTGATCTCCTGCTGGGGGAGAACCCATTCACGTGCACGTGTGGAATTGAACCTTTTGCTCTGTGGCTCAACAGATCGCAGGATCGCATTAGAGATGCCGAGGGCCTCCTGTGCGCCTTCCCGGCCAGCATGAGGAACACATCCATGCTCGCTGTGGGCGCCTTGACTCTGGGATGCCACCAGAGGGACGCGGGGGCAGACCTCGCTCTGCAGACCTCTTATGTCTTCCTGGGTATAGTTCTGGGCTTCATAGGCCTCATCTTCCTTTTTGTGCTTTACCTCAACCGCAAGGGCATCAAGAAACGCATCTACGACACGCGGGACGCTTGCAGGGAGGTGTGGGAGGGCTACCATTACCGCTTCGAAATCGACTCCGACCCCAGGTTATCGCAGGTCTCCACGAGCGCTGACGTGTGAGAGGACAATCACCACGGGTGTGCTTTCTTATCAGACTGACTTTGCATTTATCAGTAGCAACGTGTAAAAAGTGTACAGATTTGTCTGTAAATATATACATACAGTAGTGTTAATAATCTTTCAGCCTTGTCGATTGAAGCATGCACTGCCCATCTTTCCTCATACACACTTATATGCTCTTTTAATACAGACTATTGTGAATTTTGTTGCCGTCCTGAGTCAGATGGACGCGGATGTTGTAAAGGTAGATCGGTGTTTGACATCCTGCAGCTGTGTACAGGATAAAGCGGGTATAGCTAATGGATGGATTGTTTGACGTGCCATATTTCCACCCCTGCTCTTTACGTACACACAAAAGCAACAGTAAGTGCCTGAAGTCAGCTTGGTATTGTTTCCCAACTTTCTATACGGCACACTCACTCAGTATTCTGTCAGATCTCGTCTTTATATTCAGCTTGTAAAAAAAGGGAAGGAAAAAAACGTAACAAAACGCTGCAATAAAATCCTGACACTAAGAAAACAAACCTCTGGGAATTTAAAGCACAATCCCTCATTCATCTTTGAACCATTTCAAGCCCTTTGGTCCCTCCGTCCTGCAGCCCCAGGGTGCCGGAGAGGAATTAAGCCACCAAAAGCTTTTCCAAAGCTCTCCTTAAAATCACCACTCTGCTCCTCTTTGGCTGCTGGATTAGCAGGGGGGGACAATTCAGCACAGACCAGCGGAAATCTCCTAGCCCCCTCATTTTTTTTTTCTCTTTTTTTCATGAAATGTCGCTTTGTTTCAACTCCTTGAGTTTTATTGTCAAAATGATGAGAACCAGTCGCAGGCTGAGGCCGCTGAAAGCAATCTCCCTCCCTCCTTAAAGACAACAACCGCTCTGGAGGCTCTTTGAAGGAAAAGTCTGGCTCTCCACGTTTTTCTGTTTAGGGGAGTTTTTTTTTTTTCTTCTTCTTCCAGTGATAAGATACAGATGATTCTGAAACACCAGCTACATTGTTTCATTCAGCGGTTTGCCGTGACCAGCTGAAGGCGTTAAGCCTTATGAAGGGAAAGAAGAACATGTTCTCAAAGTTTTAAACTTACAATTTGGGTTTTGCTAAGAAAAGTGTCCTTTTAGTGGTCGTCAAAATCCAGAAATGTTTGTGAATCCAGAGCCTTACGTTTTACATGCATGTTTAGATCCACTTATAAGCTTATAGTGAATGAATTCCAAACAAAGTCCACGTTTCTCAAATGTCATATGTGTCTTACTTGTTTCTCTAAATGACAAAAGCAATTCTCTGTGGCCTTTCCGTGCTCCAAAGTGAGACAAACACAGACAGCGAGAGGAGATGGCGTGCTGCCATTCCTCAATGTGTTTATTGCCCAAATTGCTAGCTATCTAGGTATTTGGAATGAGGGGGGAAGGAGGCCTGGAGTTAAATGAATCAGCCTCCCATTGTTTCGAAGCCAAAGTGCCATCTTCATCCCATCGAGATGTCCTCCAAACTCCTCTGATAGCGATCCGGAATTGTGTACGCGGAGCCATTTTACTGCATGTGGAATGATAAAATAAAGCATTAGAAAGTCCTGATGTTTGTATACTCATTTAGCCCAAATGTAATCTTGTGTGTTATGAAAACAGCAGAAATGAACGCATTCATAATGTTTGGACTCAACTCTGGGTATCATTTCTCCGAGCCGCAGCGCCACATTAAGCCACGCATTTACTCGCTGAGGAGAAAACAATTGAGGCTCGTACGCTGACACAAAGGGGCGGCTCGGATGGCGAGACGCCTCAAATAAGCTTTGTTTTCCAGCGCAAAAAAAAAAAGATGCCTTGTGATACTCATTCTCTCTCTCTGCCTTCACAGACGGCCATTATGCCGGCGTGTAATAGGATTCACTCATGATGACAAAGTTGAGCGCTCTGATCCAGCTATTGTTCAAGTGTCATCATTCTTAATAATTGCCAGTGGGAGGAAAATCCCAGGAGAAGTTTTCATTCGCCGTTACACAACGTGTCACACCCGGGGCATTAAGCCGGCCACGGGTTATTGGTGTCAATTTGCAGAACAGAAAGGAGGAAAAAAAATGATTCCCCCGCATGTCATTACTTCCGTCTTCGCTCATTAAAGTGTGGATTAGAAGCCGGGCCTTTTTCTGCTTTTTTTTTTTTATGAGTCTGGCTGTTTGAAAAATATATGGTCTGTTTGCTATAGGCTGTGCAAGATTGTCTCAGCAGGCATGCAATGAAAAGAGAGGAACCTCCAAACACATCCAGACACTCTCCATTACTCCCTGTGCAAAAGAGAGGCTTGTTAAAAGCAGAAAAATCGCTCCAGTTACTGTCCTCCTTCAGACGGCATCCCGCACATATCTGATTAAAGCGTCACGTCTTTATTTCAGCTTACGTCTGGGGTTCCCGCAAGCCGTTTGTTGCACCACTGAGGTTTCTTTCGAGGAAGCAGTTTTAAAAACTTTAACAGCTTTATGTTGCGCTGTTGTGTGTGCGGCG